CTAAACAAAAAATGGACCTCCAAGAGATGACCAACTTCATCAGGGCGTTCTTCTCCTGCTCGAGTGGGGAGATTTTATCCAGAATCGTTGAGTACTGAGGTTGGCCATCACCCAGGCGGCTGGGAGGGAGCTGCAGCTGGGGAGGCTCGTTTTGCGTTCTAAAACGTGACACTTTGCGCAAGCTCAAGCTCAAGCAATCCTAAGCCAAGCCTAAGCCCACGTTTAAGCCAAGATACCGAAGCCAAGTCGGTGTCTAAGGCCGGCCTAAGCCAAGCCTGGGCCCAACTGCGGCAGCTGGGCCGAAGCCGAAGCCTAAGCCCAGCCTAAATCAAGCCTACGCCAGGCCTAACTCTAAGCCAACCCTAAGTATAACCGAAGCCTAAGCCTAAGCTAGGCAGAAGCCTCAGCCTAAGCGCAAGACCAAGTCGAGTAAGCCTAAGTCTAACCGAAGCCTAAGCCCAGTCCAAGCCAAGCCGAACCTAAGCTTACCTTTGGATCAAACGAAGCCTGCTTGCTCGCCACAAGCGTCGAAACCTTCTTATGCACATCAGATGTAATGCGATGCGCATCGAAGTTGATAATCTCCTCCTTCACGCCCGATTTGGCCAGGAATCTGAGGTGGATACGGTAACTAGGGCACCAAATAATTGTCTCACTTTCTCATGGCTTCCCAGGATGTATCCAAAATGCCCATGAATAGGAGCACAGCCTGTAGAATATCACGAACGGCTTCCGGTGGTGCCTTAGGGATCGAATCTCGGATAGCGACTCGGATTTGATCGGAGCTGATTGCTTCGCGGGCTTCCTAAACGGGAGTATTTTGAATTTTTTTAGCCACAACTGCCAAGCAATAAAATGTAAGTTGTATTTTTTGTAGTTTTAGGAGTTTCCGTTAAGAAAAACATATCAAAAAAATGTTAGAAAATTTTTGAAATTGAATTTTCGATATTTTTTGGTCGTTTTTGGGTTCTTGTTCGTTATCGGGGGTTAAATAGACCCAAAAATAGGCCTGTCTGTCGGTTGCTTCCCCCCGCTAATGCACCAGAACCCATTTTTGCAAAAAAAATGTTGTTATTTTTATGATGATGTGTTATACCAAAAAATCATCATTTATAAAACATATATTTTAAAAACCGCTGACTATACTTTTACAATTTCGAAAATGTCGCTTTTGTGCCCCCGCTAAATGATAAGGTCCAGAAACTGAGATTTAAATACAAAACCAACCCTGAGCAACGGCTCGACGTCAGCGAGCTGTTCATCAATCCTGGCCCGCTGTGCCTCAATCTTCTCATTCTCCCTCCCGACATCCCCTCGCAGTTTCTCCATCGACTCCTTTTGATCCTGAGCCCCAGCCATGCTCTGGCTGATCGCAGCCAGTGCAGCATCAGCCTCTCGCTGTTTTTCGGCGAGTAATCGGCCCTGCTTCGCGGCCCTCGATTGCATGGCGGCAATGCCGCTTCGCGGGCCTCTGTCAGTCTTCCGACACCTGCCTACAAAATGTGCTGTTTTCGTTAAAAGGTGCCTAAAATACCGTAAGTCTCTGCAGTCGTGAAGTGACGGCTTTTTTTGGTGGTGTACTGCGCATAGTTTTGGATGAGAGTTGTGTATCGTGAAGGGGTAGCCAGTTCTTTTGGCGCTATTCCTAAGAGTTGGCGGAGAAGGCCGACAACTTCTTCGGATGGGGATTGAACACCGGCACGGGCAGTTCAACGGTTGGCATCTGGAAAACCGGTATTTCGGGAGTTTTCTCCTGTCGCTGTCTCTTTAAAGTTTCTTTCAAAAATAGCTAAATTTTTCGAAACACTATTAAGCTGCTTACTATTACGTTACTAGGTACCCACCCTCCCCTGATAATGCAAAAGCACGCAGATTTCATACCTGATCGAGCGTATGCAGACCCCATTTTTCCATCCATATCACTTCACAATTCCGGAAGAGGGCTGGATTGGCTGCGGTTCTTCTTCGAATCTAAAAAAATAGGATAGAAAAATACAACCAAAACTGCGAAAAATGTAAATTTTAATAATACAAAAATTTCAAAAATAGAAAAGAAAAGCTTGATAAAACTAACTTATCATTATCCACATCCAGCACCAAAGCCACGTGCACCAGCGAGCGGACGCCTAAAGAATTGTTAATTTCTTTCTTCTTATTATTTTGTTTGGAGTTTTCAGTGGTCTTCTGTCTTTTTTAGATGAGAAGAACGGATAAACAAGTTCAAAACACCTACGATAGGCAAAGAAATCGTTCAAATTCCTGGAAGTTCACTTGGCTCGCCTGGTCTCGAACCGCAGCGATCAGCCCATCGAGTTCTAAAAGGTGGCCGGATTACCGTATCTCACTATTTATATTCAAGTTACCTTGAGGGGTAAAGCCCAGGGACCTCGCCGGCAGAAAGTAGTGAATTTAGGGTCTGGAGGAGGGCAGGGAGGGCTGAGACTTCCCATTCTTCGACCACCATCAGTACGTGTTCACCATTCATTAATGCTTGGTTGATGGCCTAAAAAATAATAATAACATTTGTAACTGTGGTTCTTTGTATTATCGGGGGTATTAAAATGCAAAAACAATCGATTTTCCGGCCTAAATTGAACGATTTTTGACAATATTTCAATTTTCAAAGTCATTTGGATGGCTTTCTACTTTAAAAACCGGGAAATTTTACTAAAAGCAGATGAAAATAGTTACTATTACGTATATAAAAATTCGCCGTGCCCCCGATACTGCAAAAGTCCTGTAACTTGTAGGTTCTAGTTATATTTCTTTACTGACCGCCTTGAGGTCAGTTGTCAAAGTGTTTCTGCGCGTATCCGGGCGTGACGCGTGGATGGTGGACGGCCATCTGATGGTGATGAGCGACTAGTCGGACACAGGATCCGAGCCCCATTCCGGCGCTTCCGGCCACGAGCACGTTTCCCACTAAAAGCACATATTCGGGGTGTTCGGGCGGAATGTAGCGTAGTCTACCGAAAAAGCGCACCAGGTGTGGTGAGGGCTCGATCGAGCTTGGCGCAGATGTCGACCACTTCATCGACAAGAGGGGCTTTGAACTGGGAGACGTCAAATTCTAGAAAGGTCAAATTTTACGTACGAAAAAAATAAATAAAAAAGACGTTTAAAAGAGGAGCTTTCGCATTATCGGGGACCATCAGTTTACATTTTAAATTCCTAGAAACTCATAGTAAACTTTTGGAAGAAATTAACTATATTTAAATCCGGACAACTAAAAACGTCCAAAAATTTTCAAACTCGAAAATTTGATATTTTTACATTTTTTAATTTTGGGGTACTGAAACTTTAGAAATCCTTCCTAAATTTATAAAAAATTCATAAAAAGTTGCCCCCACTAATGCAAAAAAGCACCAAAAAGAGCGCCAGTTACCGCATCTATTAACAGCTTTTTGTAGTAGCCGCGTAGTCCGCCCTGGGTACGCGCGGCAGGGCGCAAGGCGCTGCCCTGGTGCATCGCCGTCGACGTCGTCACGTACAGGAAAGGTACGAAATAGATAGATAAATTCATTTTTACAATTAAGCGCTGATTAAACATTTACAAAATTAATAGAATAAAATCCACTATAAGCTTAGAATTATGAAAATATATAAATTAACAACCAGCATCCCCAGCCCCGCCGCCGAGCGATGTTTGCGAGCAGGTCACGGAATTTCTGTCGATCCCCATCGGACGCCATTCGATCTCCAAATTCGTGCAGCTTCGTGGAGAAGCGTTGGAGCAGCAGCGTCGGCTCCTGCCCTTCGCATCTCCTCATTCCCAACGTCCACTTGGTCAAGTCGCGAGGTGAGAACACGTAGTGGGCTTGTTCTGTGCTCCGGAAGGTACGCCGGACCTGGAAAAGGGTGGATTCAGATACTATAATCTCGACAGTCGAAATACCGACTATGAAAACCCTGACAAAGCGAATTCCGACAACAAAATACCGACAACCAACATCCGAAAATTCCATTATGCCGACATGCCCGAATACTTAAACATAAGTACAAACAAACATAAGTACCGACATTAAAATACCGACATTCGAAAATCCCGACAGGACGAGATCCACGGAGCAAAATACCGGCAGGGCAAACTCCCGACATTCAGAATCCAGCCCTTCAAAAAGCCTGACAACCAAAATTACGGCCGTGAAAATACTGACAGCCACAGCCAAACGACGGATACTCCAGCCGTCAGTATTTTGAATATCGGAAGTTTGGCTTTCGGCAGCTCGGGTTACGGTATTTAAATGTCGGTATTACGGTTGTTGGAAATTCAGCTGTCGATATTTCGGTTGGCGGTATTTCGGCAATCCTAATTTCGACTGTCGGTATTTCTAGCGTCGGGACCTTGATATCGAGTTTGCTGTCAGAGCATGGCTGTCGGTATTTTACATTTGGGAATGTCAGCTGTCTGGATTCTGAGTGTCGGCATTTTTTCTGTCGGTATTTCGGAGCTTTACCAGGATCCTTGGCTTCACATAAAAACTCACATCTTCATAGATTTGCACCATCATCCCTGCAACTCCTCGACACGGGTGGCATTTTGGAGGATTGGCTGGAAATTGGGGGAAAAATACAGTAAAAATCGTTAGAAAACTACCTCCATAATTGGCATCAAATAGATACTGTAGATTGTTTGGAGGTCCTGATCCGATGGGGTGGAAACAGTAGCTAGGCGGAATAGGGAGAGTAGCCGGGTGGAGACTGGGTATCTGGAACGAGAAATAGATCATGGTTTAGGAAATGATAGCAGAAAATTTAGTGGCGTAATCGGATAATCTTATTCTAGAGAATTCTGTACAAATTAAAGTTACAAAATTACAAACATAGAACTAAAACTAAAATTAGAAGAAATCCATTCAAAAATAACATCAAAACGCAAAGAAAATGGCTTCTGGGATTATGACTTGCCATTCATTATTATTTTTGTTATTCTTAAAGCTAAAACTTTAGAAATGTTGGATTAAATCGATTTTTCGGCCAAATATGACCGATTTTCATTAGGTAGTTTTCGACCTGGAAATTTAATTGAATTTTGCAAAAACATTATAAATGTCATTAATGATTCAAACGGTAGTAAACATTTCTAAACTTCGACAAATAAATGTGCCCCCCCGATAACGCAAAAGCGCCAAAAAAATAAAACGCACCTTCCAGCCCCTTCCAACGCCATGGTGACGACGAATTGAATTCCCTCCAACCCGATCCATTCCAAAGCATCATCAAAGAATCCGTGGTAGGTGAGGAGTTGTTGGAGTAGAGCATGAAGTTGTGAGGTGCCATAGCGATCCGGGGAGGTTTGATTGAGACCTCGAAGGAGAACGATCAACTGGCCACCACCGTCTTTTGGGCGCAGTACACGGCCACCTGCACCGGACACCTAAAAATTCCTTAAGAAATAGTTCACACCCCCGCTAACGAACCAGCACCAAAAATACTGAAAAACTTACCTGAACAGTGTGCTGATGAAGGGTATGAAGTAGGGTATGTGCTGAAGTTTGTGCAGAGCATGAAAGTGTAGCCGTTCTGGATAGCGGGAGGGTCTGGAGACTGTTCTGCATCAGACTCGCTTTTCCGCTCCCTTCCGGTCCGACCACACAGATTGATGGGTGGCTCGCGTCGGTCAGCCATGCCTGAAAGTTGGGTAAATTGATCACGACTTCGTTTAAAGTCAAATTTGAAAAAATACAGGTAGATTTTAGATTTTTGAGCACATTTTTTGGCATAGTTTTACATTTGAAATTTGTTTTTAGGTTAGAAAAAAGATAAAAAAACTTAGAAAAAGATAAAAATAACGATTTTTCGAGCGAAAATTGCCGATTTTGGACCAAAAATTTACATTTTTATTAATTGTTACTTTTTACATGGGGTTTCAATTGAAGATATTGCTGAATTTTACTAAATAAAACACGCAAAAATTCCCATCTCCCGGTAATGACAAAGCACCGAGATTTTAGGAGTTTTAGGCTTTTCAAAGACATTTTAGTGGAAATACGATGTCCTAACCTGGTTTGTTATTTTAAAAAACTTCACTTTTCATCGATTTAGTAACATTTGAACTCCTATTTTTGTTGGTTTCCTATTATTGATTCTTTTAAAGTATTTAATACAGATTTAAATGCTTTAATCGACACGGAAAATTAAAAAAACTTTTCCATGAATTTTTATATTTTTTAGATTATATTTATAATGGTATTTTAATCTTTAGATTATTTAAAAGATTTTAGCGCTTGTATCGACAAGAAAAAGTAAAAATTTTAGTACCTGTATAAGCGAGGTGGTAGCCTGGGCATTGGGTGTCAAAACGAGAGGTGGAGCTTGACCTTGCCCCTCAACTTGTTCCCTCGTCAATCCCTGCCCCGTATCTTCTGTATACATTTGTAACATTCGAGTTCGATCGTCAAAATAGACAAGATCGGGCTGAGAGGCGTCTGGTAGATGTTCACCCTCAAATACCGCGGCGGCCAGCTCTTTTCGAGCGTCCAGCGGCACCGAGCCTGCAATAAAAGTATAAATTTGTCGTACTGGTCTCTTAGCGGGGGGTGCCCAGGGCCGACTACGCAGCACTACGCCGCACTACTTTAGACCGGTTAATGTTAATAGCTACGGTAGTGCAGTGTTTTTCGGGTCTTTTGCATTATCGGGGAGGGGGCTGCTTTTTTAGCATCCAATTTTTTATTTGAATACAGGGTTTGTTTTAAACAATTTTTCACTACTCGTGAGCGTTAGAAATTTTGCAAATTTCGCTTAAAAATACCGAAAAAAGCGGATTTTCGACCAAAATTTCGAATTTTTAAATGTTACAAAATTTTCTAGATGGTTTTTCCTATTTAAATACAGTTATATTTAATAAAATACCATTAAAAAGATAAGTATTGAATACCCAGAATTTTCTGGGCCCAGAAAAGCGTATAAAAATTCATAATTTGGTCGCAAATAAATATTTTGATTTTTTTTGATAAAAATTTGTGGATTTTTCTTTAGAAATAATAAAAAAACAGTGTAAAAACAGTCTCCCCGATATTGCACGAGTACCAATTTTTGTCTACTAACTTGAAATGTCTTTAAAAACCGACCTGCAAACCCTCGATACAGCGCGACGAGAAATTCGGGTTTTGACCGCACGCCTCCAAGCAACGAGAGCCCATTTTGTGTCAGAGCGATTGGAGGCAACCGTATCCCGGCCGTGGTCTGTCTCTGATCGACAATTTGGAGGATACGGTAGAAGCTGTCCTCTAGCCATCCCGCAATTTCGGGTGATTCCTCCGGTCCCTGGGCTCGCACCCATTTTTCCACGACATCACGAGGGCTCACGTCCTCTTCGCTGGTTAGTAACATTCCCAGTCTGAAATTAAACGGTACTTTTCTATTTAAAGGGGTGGAAACGAAAAAACACGCATTTTCGACTTAAAAATGAAAAGGGAAGAAATTTTGGGATCTTTTCCGTTATTGAGGGTGGTAGAGAACTGATAGACTGGTAAATTTTTAAGCCGACCTGGATACCGTAGCCGGGGAGGCGAATTGTAGATGATGGGTCTCGAAGAGGAAATTGACATTGGCGCCGAACTGGATGCGCTCTCCAGAGGGCATCGTCAGAAGGCGATTGTCGTCTAGGACTGAATTCAGGGCTTCGACCCATTCCGGGTCGATGTCACCATCACAGACGATCCAAGTATGGACCTGAAATGAACCTGGAGATACCGTATTTCCCTAGTATAAATAGACGGCATTTGAAGGTTTTTCTCTATTTCATCAATTATTACAGTAGAACCCAGAAAAAAAACGAATTACGGTATTTTTGCTGTCGTACCTGTGTATCCTTAATAACATTCCTCGCCGCCATGGTGATTATACCATCGGTCCATTCTCGTGTATCCATATCCATATGGCCAAGCAGTCTTGTGCGGGTTGTGGCTTTTGGATTCAACTCGTAGCAGGCGAGCCGTTGGCCGCTGATGATCAACGCTCGTTTGAGGACACGCCACAATGTCGATTTTCCACTTTGGGATGGGCCGACGACGACAACGCCTGAAAAAGGGGGAATAAATTCGAGAGAGAGCGAGAGAGAGAGAGAGAGAGAGAGAGAGAGAGAGAGATAGCGAGAGAAAGTGTGTGTAATTGTCAGAGATAGAGCGAAAGCTAGAGAGACAGCAGGAGAGAGTGTGTTTGAGCGAGCAAGAGAGAGGCAGAATGAGAGCGAGAGAGAGAGAGAGAGAGAGAGAGAGAGAGAGAGAGAGAGAGAGAGCTGGAGAGAGGGAGAGAGAGTGGCAGATAGGCGAGAAACAGAGCGAGCCAGCGAGTGTGGGTGAGCATGTGAGAGAGAATGAGGGTGAGAATAAACGGCTGAGAGAGAAACAGAGAGAGAGAGTGAGAGAGAGAGACCACAAGAGTGAGAAGTGAAAAGGAGCGAGAGAGAGAGAGAGAGAGAGAGAGAGAGAGAGAGAGAAACCCACCAATACGTTGTCGTAGCTGCTCATGGAGCTGGAAAAGCTTGTGAAGCTGCCGATCCCCGAGGCGGATACCCATCTCTTCAGCCGATTTTTGCAGCGGCTCCAAAAGTGCCCCAAATGGAGCCATGCTCTCCTTTCCATCCTGCAAGTGCGTTTTCCCTCTTATGGCTTTCAACCCCAAACCTTCTTTTCCGGTCCTCCAGTATAGAAAATATCCTGTATGAGCGCGTCGAATCGCCTCGAGTCGGCAAAAGTCAATTTTGACAGCGTATTCAACAGTAGCGCTTGCACGACGATGGACGCCTCATTACTATCGGATTGTTCGGGAGGAGTGGCGTAGCCCGCCACAGCCACGCAGGACAGCTTTTAGGGCGCGGAGGCCCCAATCGTAGTGTTGTTGCGCCGACAGCATTTCTTTGCACAATCAAAAAGGTAGATTTTGTTAAAAATAGAAATTGTAAATTACCTGAAGACTGCTACAGTTTTTCTAGCCAACGGCTTAGCCTCGCGGAAACCTTCGGCAAAGAGGAGCGTCTCGGCGATGAGTTCATTATCCGGAACGGACATCACCACCGGCCGGAAGAGCTGCTTCAAGTTGTCCGGCATCTTTTGGCGACCGCCGTATCTAAAGGGATTATTGGTTCTTTTGCATTATCGGGGGGGCTTGTTTCGTATCCAGTTTTTGTTTGTTTCTAAGCTCTCCTAGGCGTAAAAACCTTACAAAAATCTGTTTAGAAATATAAAACATCGGTTTTTCGATAAAAATATCAAATTAAACGTTTTTAAGCAAGCTTTTCGATTTAAAATATAGTTAAATTTTGGTTAAAATCGATTATAATACTCGCTATTACGCCATTGTGCAGTTACTTTGCCTTGTAAAAAATTGCTCCCCCCCCGTTAACGCAAAAGAACCCAGTGTTCATACCCCTTGCCGGCCGGGTTGAGCGTGATGAAGATGGCGGAATTGGGATCGACGCGGGCTGTATACTGGCCAAGAGTCACGGATGGGGAACGGTGGTGGATCGCATCCTGGAGATGATTTGAAAGTTTTTGGGTACTTCAGCATTATCGGGGGGGGGAGCGGGGAGGGGCAAAATTATTTTTTAGAATTCACGGAAAAACGTAAAAACAAACGTCAAACTGAAGATTTAATAGCGTTTTGAGTAAAATGTGCATATATTTTGAAGGAAAAAAATCATTTTTAAAAACCTTTAAAAATTTAACTTAAAATTTTTCGAAAAAATTTATATTTTTCGATTTTTAAAGTAAAAGCTGCGGAGTTTTCCACGTTTAAGAGTAGTAAAAAGCCGTTAAAAATGTTAAAAATTGATTTTTCAAGGTTAAACCTTACCTGTATGGCTTGAATATGTTGCGAAACGGCGGAAAGCACAGTCTGCTCGAGCCGGTTGAACTCGTCGAAGCAGCCCCACGCCCCGCATTGCACCAAACCGACAAAGATGCGGCCCATCGAGACGACATCGATGCCCTCGTCGCAGTTGAACACGAGTACCTAACAATTTTTGGTGTTTTTATCACAATTTTCGTATTTTTCTTAATTTTCTAGGTTCTCTAAGGAGCATCCAAGGTGATCCAAACCAACCTGTCGCCCAAAAAGCGCTCCCAGCGCCTTGACGGACTCGGTTTTGCCGGTTCCGGCGGGACCAAACGGATTCCCTCCCAATCCCATCGACATCGCCTGTGTCAGGGTCAGATAGCACTTATCCGTCAGCGGCGTGTGGACGAGTTTCGGTGCGTTGCCCTAAAAATATTAGCGTTCTGACTAATTCAGCGCTGGTTTATTAGCGGGGGGAGCCAAATTTCTTCTATAAGTTCAAGGCGACTAGTAACGTCTCAACCATAAAATTTCCTTAAATTTTGAGTAGAAAACCAATCAAAAACTCAAAAAAAAATTTTAAATCTGAAATTTTGGCACGAAAATCGGTTTTAACGCAAAATCGGTATTTTTGTATTGTTCTTAAAATGGATAAGTTTTTACGTTTAGGAATAGTAAAAAAACAGGGTAAAAACAGCGTCTCTATATTTGTTAGAAAAATGGAACGAAGGCAAAGGCCCCCCGATAATGAATAAGCACCATCGAAAGTCGTTGAACGTACCTGATATTCATAAGTATAGTCAAATCGAGCGTCAATCTGTCGTACGACCACTTTATCTCCATCGAGATAAAACCGGAGTTGTCGTTGCCATGTCCACTCGGCCGTACTCCGTGCCTGCGCCGTGATTAGTTGCTGAACAACGTCGATGTGGTGGATGAGATCGAGAATGAGGGCCTTGAGCTTCAACCTCAGTAACCCTTCATCACGTGGTTGAAGGCCGGTAAGTTGTGTCAATTGGTGTTGAAGGGAAGTGTGGAGGGAGGGCAAGGAGGACGAGTCGAGGGCTCGCTCGCACTCACGACAGAAACGGACCTCTTCAGCGAGACAGAGCACCTAAAAATTTTTTGTGGTGATATTTTGGGTGCTAGACTCTTAACGGGGGGGTGTTTTTATTTTCATCTCTTCAAAATATCGAAAAATTAGCGCAAATTCCAAAAATCAGCTTTTAACCTATTTCAAAAAAAAAATTTTTTTGCTTTAAGCTTTTTATTTTACAATATTTTGAGCTCATATAAAACTCGTAATATGTAGTTTTTTCGTCGTTATCCCGTAAGGCGCCTTCAAAAACACCGAAAAAACCAGATTTTCGGGAGGTTTCCCTACCTGCGAAGGATATTTGCCCGGGTTGAGACCGTCATCGCGGAGTGCATCGACCGTCAATAGGCGCAACGTGGAGGCCATTCGATCGGATAAATGTTGGAGCCAGGTTTCGACTTGGGGGACCAGGCGTACAGGCGCGTCTAGGAGAACGACTTCGCCGTCAGCCGACACCATCGCCACCAGGGTCAGGTTGCCCTCCCCGAAAACGACTTTGTCGATGCCCTAGAAAATAAATATTTTTAGAAAACTCAAAACCGACAAATTTGATACATTTAGTTACTTACCTGGAACAACTTTCTCAAATGAGCCTGGATCACCAGCGGATTGGTCGATTGGCCGAGGATCTCGAGCAGGTCATCATCGCCCAAAAAGTAGAAGCGCGGAAATGCGGCTCGTTTTTCTTGGAGGAACTGAGCAAGAGCTCGCTGGCATCTCCCCAGCTGCTCGACCACTTGCTCCAGGTTTCGACGGAGTCCTGTCCGAGAGCATAGTGAGATGAGTCGGGCATCTTTTGCCACGTCTAAAACCAAGCTTATAGCGTCTTCAGCAAAATTCCCAGGGACTGGTTGCTTAGCGGGGGGCTAATTCATGGCTAAAAAATCGATAAATTAGGCCAAATTAAAGCAGATAATTCTCACTGCTAATCCCCCCCGATACTGAAACAGTGCATACCTGCCAAAATCAGCCGAAAATCGGCATCAACTCTCGCGAATCGTGATGCTTCATGTGGCAGAGCCCCTCTCCCGAAAATCGGCTCCAAATACACCCATTTCCTTTGAATATCGGCCATTTGACCGAGACAAACGTCCAGCTCGCCGAGTCTTCCTTCCCACAACTGTGTACGGTCCGAGAATTGGCCATAGTAAGGGGAATTCTTCAGCGATTGCAGAAGCGCCTCACTGTCTTTTACCTAAAAACATTATCAACATTTGTTTCTCTGGGAAGCTTCCCCGGTACTGGGCTGTTAACGGGGGGAGGAGGGGGATTTTAATGAGGGTGAAAAAGCTGTCTATTCTATATACCTACTGAAAAATCTATTTGTATTGTGTATTTCATAGCTTTTAGACATTATTGATTTGTAAGTTTTAAACAGGCATTTTTAGAAAATTGAAAAAAGCATTTTTGTTTAAAATCAATATTTGTAAAAAATTAATAAATTTTAGTAATTTGCTAGACTTAAATACGGTGTAAAAAATTGTGAAAAGGGTCGCTATTTCGTTCCTTGAAAGCTACGAGGCGAGGGGCGAAAATTAGACCCCGCTAACAGCACAGTACCGGGTAACCGAATCTAAAAATAGAATCACGATTTTTCCGAATTTCCACGTTTGAGTTTTCGAATTTTTACCATTCCAGATTTTCGGGATTTTGAAGTTGCAAAATTACGAATTTTCAGTATCTCGAATTAACAGAATTTCGAATTTTCGGAACTTTAGTAGTAATTTTTAAAACTAATCTAACTTATTAAACTAATTTTTATACTAATAATTAACTACTTTTACTACAAATAACTTATTTAACTAATTTTTTGGTAATTTTAGTAGAAATTTCGGGATTAATACGGCATTTCTGAATTTTCGAGATTTTGCCAGTTTCCTAGCCAAAATACCTACCGAATTAATAGCCTCCTTCCACTCCTTAATAATCTTGATCGTCTGCCCATTCGTATGTTTATAATCAACAAGCGAGAATTGTGTATGCGCTGCCCACATCTCCAATTCAGTGATCGCCTCCCTTATTGCCACTTCTCCATGCGCTCTCCCATTTAACGCCTTCAACTCGTCGAGATGTGAGAGAATTGAGGGGGCGACATCAACAAGGTCACCAAAACGGAGTCCCTCAATTGTTGTCCCACGGGGAATTCCGACCATTCGAAACAGTTCCACCCAATGTTCTTGGCTCAGCTGATCTCCTCGACAGAATTTGAGGGCTCCCGCGAATTCTCGAAGCCCTTCCACCTCTTTCCAAAGTCGAAAAAGCAGCGGGCTTTGCGTCCCTTTTACCTGAATTTTATTTTTATCATTTTTGTTTTTTTATAATATATTTATAATATAATATAATATATTTATAATATATTTTTTTATAATGCCGAAAATTAACAGTGTCGAAATTTTGATATATCGAAATATCGGAATCACGTAATTATTGTCAAGATTTCATAATGTCGAAATATCAAAATATCCATATTTTAATATTTCCAAATAACAGAATGTCGAAAAACGGCCGAATTTTAAAAATACGTAGAAACTGTCATAATGTAGAAATATCAGAATGTCGACATTTTAATACTTCGCAGTTCCTAATATATCCAAATTTTGAAAGAGTTAAATAGCAAACGTCGAAATTTCATAATACCGACATATCAGAATATCGAAATTTATCGTCGAAAATTCAAAAACAAGCAATTTCGTAGTGTCTAAATATCACAATAATGACATTTCGATACTTCAAAAATTTTACGGTTTCTAAAAAGTTAATTTCCGCTTTCAAGTTGGCCCACCGATAATGCACAAGTGCCAAAATTTCGGCATTTTGAAAATTCACTTTATCAAAATCGCCTTATACATTTCAACTTTTTGAAAACAAGTTAAATGGTACTACAAACTACAAAATTACCTGATCCGCCCATTTTTGCAGGAATTCATCGAAAAGGCAGGCTTATATTAGAAAAATTGGCTACTAAAAACGAAACGATAGGTCCCCGGCTAATGCACAAGTTCCGGAAATTTCGGTATTTTTCGACTTTCAGATATTTCGACGTTTTAAAATAGGCCTTTCTTACCATTGAGTCACCACAAACTACAAAATCACCTGATCGGCCCATTTTTTGCAGAAACTCGTCGAAAAGGTAGGTTTATATTAGCAACATTTGCTACTGAATTCGCAAAGCTAGGTCCCCCGCTAATGCACAAGTGCCAGGAATTCGGTATTTTCGACTTTCTGATATTTCGACGTTTTCGAAAGGCATATTTCCATTAGGTCACTACAAACTACAAAATCACCTGATCGGCCCATTTTTGCAGGAACTCGTCGAAAAGGTAGGTCTTTGAGCGGAACACGACCCAGAGTTCATCTCAAGCTGTGTCATCTCATCGTGGAATTGTTGGATTGGCAGCCATTGTTCAGCAAAAAGCACCAAGCTCCTCCTCGAGTCTTCCGAGCCGAGCCAGCGAAGGCGCTGGCTCGCCGAATTGGGTGCACTCGCGAGAAGCCTCTCCTTTCTGGCGCGTAGCTCGTCAAGTTCAGCCTTTTTCTCAGCTATTGTGGACATGGCTTGTTGAAGTCCGTCTCGTTCACCACCAGCGAGGGCATCGCTTTTCGGCTTCACTTGGTCCCACCTAAAAATTGGGGGTTTTCGGTTCTTTGGCAATATCGGGGGGTCACTTCAAAAGCCCAGAAATGCCTAGTAACGTAATAGTAGGTATTTTTAAAAGTTTTTGAGCAAAATCTAGCTATATTTTGATTGGAAAATCTGGAAAAAACCTAGAAAAGCTTTAAAAATGGCATTTTGGTCGAAAATGAAGCGTTTTTTCGTAGAAGAATCGATATTTTTGTATTTCTTTGGTAAAAATTCATTGCTTTGATTGCTTAACTGAATAGTTGCTACAAACCTGGCGTGTAGACGCTCAGCATCAGCTTCAAGTTCGTCGGCTTTCTTCTCGAGCCCAGTACGAAGGACATCTACCTGCTCCTTGATCATCAGCTGATGCGAGTCGAGCATCAGCTCAAAGCGTTCCCAGTTCTGTTTTAGGGAAGCGGCCGCGTCTACCTAAAATGAAAATGGCGTCTAGCCTATTTCGCAACGTTTTAAAAACTATGAAAATGGCATTTAAAATACAAAAATCGCGATTTTTAGCCAAAAATTGATGAACGAGTTGGGAAGAATTTTGGAAAATTAATATATTTTTGTAATTTTAGAATTTAGTGTTAAGCTCTTACCCCACTGCCGGCCGTCGATCGTAACAACGAATGCTCTTCATCCAGAATAGCCATATTCCCCTTCAGTTCCTTCTTTTTCTGTCCAAATTCGGCGTGTTTCGCATTGACCTCGGCAATTTCATCGACAGTTTGTGGCCGAGTGGATAGGTGCTGATCGCCTAGATTTTATGACTTTTTCTTACAACAAAATCACAAATATAAAGCGTTTTTATCGTTTTTACTCAATTCTAGTTACATTTTGAGAAAAACACGTTCAAGAGGCTAGAAAAACTTTTAAAATGTCGACATTTTGATCATTTTTGGGCAAAAAATAAACTTTTTGACCTCACTTATTTTCCTAATCACGTTTGATAACCGTTTGCGCTCACGAATAGTCAAAAACAATTTAAGAACACAGCTATTAATAAAAAAAAATCTTGATTTATGCCGAAAAAGTTGATCCAAAATCCTATTCCAAATTCTATTCTTTTTTTTAGCATTTTTTTGATCTTTTAACCCACATTTGATAGAAACTGTGCGATGGTATGCGTATGGGTGGTGACGGCGTAGCGTAGACTAGAGACCAGGAATCGTATAATCTTTGTAGGGCCTCCTCGACGAATGTCAGCATCGGCCCGGCGCTGATCACCACGCATTCCACGCGCATTTCCCTAAAGAAATTAGGTACTGGTCTGTTAGCAGGGGCTCTTTTAGCCTTCGGCTGTTGCTCGTAGGGCCCACTAATGAAACAGACACAATCTTATGGCATTTTACGCTGTTTTCACGCTTGCAAACTTCACAATGCCTTATGAAACTTTTCAAAATTTTTAACATCAAGAAATGCCAAAACTATTTTTCTGACTTTTTAGTTATCAAAAACACCCAAAACCGCCATAAAAATCCATTTTAAACAATTACAAATATGCTCTGTAGGGACAGGATTGATAGCCCCCGCTAACAGTCCAGTACCGGAATTATTTTCTGGATCTAGATACTTACGTTGGCAGCTTCTCTGCTTCTCTTGCTTTCGTTTTCAACATTCGAAAGTGGTACTCCCAATCCACAGCTTTCGTAAACTTTTTCCTCAATAAGCCCCTCAACGTCCACTTGACCAAGCATCGCCCATTCCTAAACAAAAAATTACATTTTCAGAGCACTATACTCACCCGAAAGGGCTGATCCGCTTCGGCGACACGCTCGAGCAGTTCTTCGGCTTGTTGGTAGACAACCGGGAAACGATCGAGTTCTGCCCAATCATTTTCGCGAAGAAGTTCGTGCTCTGCTCATTATCCTGCACTCCCCGGAATTTCTCGGGGATTCCAGAATTTCCTCAGCTCGCGGTAGTATTTCGCGCGTATCTCCTCGATCGGAGGCGGAGTTGCAGCTTTTGTTGGCTAAAATAAAATAAAAAATAGGTTTTTTAGTGTTTTGATGGCGCTTTGGCAATATCGGGGGGAATCGAATTTTCTAAAAGCCTAGAAATGCTTAGTAACGTAATCATAATCATTTTAATGGTGTTTGTCGTAAAATATAGCTATGTTTCAAGTCAAAAACTATGTAAAAACCTTACAAAACTTTTTAAATTCGAGATTTTGATCGAAAATCGATGTTTTTGTACTTTGTACCTGAAATTTTTCATTTTTACGTTTAGAATCACAGATTGTTTAAAACTCTTTCGATGTTTATATCAGGAAATGGGATCCGTAGAAAAGTCGAGCCACTCCCGATAATGCACAAGCGCCGTTTTGGTACCTGAAAACGAGTTGAGCATGAATGGGCGGGATCTGGGTGTGCAGACTTTCTAGGCCCCAACGGTATTGAAGCTGCAGGGCTTTGAAGAGCTGCCGATCCCAGTGGATTTGCCAGGGGCGCATGTTCGTCTTCGAGGCCGCGTAGACGAGCTCCTCCTCGCTCATCTGAATCGTGGGATTTTTTTTGTGTTTTTTAGCGGTTTAGTGACTTACCTTGGTGCGGATCTGGACGAGCGTCTCCTTCCACCTGTTGACCTCCTTGTAGATGTCCAGCTTGCAGAGTTCGAGCACCATTTGGACGATTTCCGATTGTTTGTTGCGTAGGCGGCTAAAAATTTGGCCCTTTTTAACGCAAAAATGAAAACTATTAAAATGTCAAAGATCGAAAAGAGTGACCCCTTTTTCTAGCGCACTTTTAGCCTTTTTCAAACTTATCCCATACCGATTATGCGATGCCAAACGCTCTGAAGCCTTCTGCAGCTCCCC